ATGGGCACCACGGAGCAGAAACGGCGAAGAGTAACTAAACGAGCGAGGCAAAGGATTGGTCGACGGTCTGTTTTTGCTTTTCTGTCGACCAAGGAAAAGCGGAGAACAAAGAACTTATTGGCCTGTTACCTATAGTCCGCCAACGCTAGCGGTTCTTCAGCATAAGTTCTTTGTGTTGTCAGCAAAGGACAATATAAATCAAAATGTCGGCCCGCACGCCCGCACGCCCGCACGCACGCCCGCACACATGCACGCCTGCACGCCCGCCCCGCCCGCTCGTCCAGTACTTGGGAAACTCAAACGCCAACTGGAATATAATAGATGTGGGCAACGTGAGTGATCCAAGAGGTGCAGATAGAGTAAGCAGCTACATGCCTACAACTCTTGGCCAAACCTTGGCTGTACCACCTGGCTTAACAGTCAAGTAGTTTTACTGAGTAGGCCACACCTCTGCCTGTTTTGTGCACCTATGGAGCAACATGCCGCAGGCTGGCATGACCACCTTCATTGTCGTGCTCCCACACAATCATCGTCGACATCAGCGGCTCCGCCGAAATCAATCGAACTGCCAGTTTAGATCCCACACAAACAACCCAACGAGAGGATGATTCATTCGTGTATATGAACGCGCTCGATTACCTTCTCCTTCCTCTTCTTGGTGGTGAACATGTTGATGGTAGGTTCATGAACGAGGGCCGTAGAAGAGGCGGAGAGCGTAGGGCAACCATCGCTGCCAGGTCTCCTCCGTGTGCTCGCCGATCGGGTCCTTGTGCACGAACAGGTCCGTGCCCTCACAATACGCGGCGTGGCCCTGGCTCTCCGAGTCTGTCAGCGTCGCCACCGCCGCCAGCGTGCACTCGGTGGCCCAGCGCTCGACGCACGCGTTGTGGAACCCGCCTCCTCGACGCAGGCCCACGCCAAAGAAAATCGTGGGCCGCTCGCCCACCGCGGTCAGGGTGGTCCGCACCACGTGACCGGTTGCCAAAGTGGTAGGGCAGCCCAGCAGATCCACTACACTCGCCACC